GCAGGTAACTAGTAATCCCTATCCTCGGGGGCGGAGCTACGTCACAGACGTTCTACGTTGCTAAGACGCGCGCCACTGTACCACGTATTTCTATGGGCTTTGTGCGCGCTGCTGTGGAACGCCGGTGGAGCCGGTGAAAACTCGAGAAAACAACACAAACCCTTTGAAGTAATCCTGAACAACCAAATTTATATATGTTACACACGTAGGACTAATCTTGTTACACTGTTCAGGGGAGTCTCAACAAACATCCCAAAGTACCGTTTTCTGCGAGTTTTTGGTCTTTGTTTTCACCTCGAGGGTTGCCAGGCGGTAGAAATTGCCCGGATGTCCGCCCCCGAGGATATTGTTCCATTTGGGCCGGTTTTCAGACCGGAAGGAACGCGACTGGGTGACGTAATTTGAAAACATTCCAAGTTCCGTTTTGCGTAAACGTGTCTGTAATGCTACAATAAAGCCACGCTCATACATACTGCCTGCTTAGATTTACAGATTTGATATGTTCTGTGCAAATTTATAACAAAAGAAACAATTCTTTTTATTCGCCCAACTTTCGAAAGTAAAAGGAAACCCCTGAACGGCCACGAGCGTAAGCGCTGACGTCAGGTAACTAAGGGAAATGGAACAAGCAACGAGAAAGTGATGTACCAATCAGAATGCCAGAACCGTTACTAGTTACCGGCCTCTTGTGGCTTGGTACGCCATGACACTTGAGGCGGGAACCAGCCAACGCTCAACGCAGCTATGAAGTACGAAATGATATAGCGGGGAAGTCGTCAGCTGCGCATGCGTCAGATAGCCATCGCGTGTCATTGTTTACAAACAAGCGTCTGCCCACAGGCCTTTGCGTTTTTAGTGTGTGTTGTTATCATCGCTTGGGACTTAAATTCCCGCGCGTGCGCAGGTGACGAGCCTCCCGCTTTAACGCTATAATCCGGATATCATGCGAATATATTTGGCATTACATACTCACAATGGCAGTTTTTTGGTTACTTATATAAACCATTTTTTTTTTGGATATTCATTGGTACTACTGTAATAGTTGTTGGCTCATAGAATCAGAAGCGCATTGTCGCTATAAATCGCTACATTTAGTTACGAAACGCTTCTGTAGTGTCAGGATGACAAAAATGGGTGGAGTCAATGTCGTTCGTCATCTAGAATATAGTAGAATCTCTAACTAAACATAATATCCATTGACTATATATCAAAACAATATTAACGCTAGGAAAGCTGTATTGGGCGCTCTTTTCTTTTGACAAATAAATAAACTGAGCAGTGATTCAAAACTAGTGGTTGTACATCCTATAAAGGGGTACAAAATGCAGCCTATATTTTTTGACAATGTTGGCACTTTTTGGACTTTATTTGCATCCTTTTTTTACCTTGACCTTGACATCGTTTGACAAATTCCTAAATTAGTTTATAATTGCCACACCCAAACACTATCCCACCCCCCGCGTCAAAACTCGGATTGTTCATTTTAAAGTATTACCTGACCGAGTAACACCACATCAAATGTCATCTGGTCGATGTGTGTAGGACGGTTATAGCGGTGTAAAGTAACGAATTTGAACAGACACATTTGCCGATTACGAGTCGAAATTCTTGGTCGACTATTTAGAAAAATTAGAAAATACGCACTCATCAATTGTAGACGAATGTAAACAGAAAACTTACGTGTCGTGGTGTGCG